AGTTTTAGTGTAACATTACTATTTTTTTTATTATTCTTTATTTCTTGATGCTATGCAAACACACTGAGAGCTCTTTGCACCGAAGTGAAATTCCTTGTATGTCTAATCATACTTGGCCAATAAAGTATTCTATTCTATTCTATTCTATTCTATTCTATTCTATTCTATTCTATTCTATTCTATTCTACTCTATTCATAAATAATGTTTTTAAATGTCCATTCATATCCCAGTGTCTAGGCATAAATAAATGTGTTAATCTAGGTCTTTAATATTTCTAACTGATTATTTTGATTTTAATATCAGAAAGTCCTATATACATTATTTTAGTTGTAATAGCGTACAAAGGAAACTGTTGATGAGTGGATAGAAATCTTATAATCAGTGAACAACAAAAAAGCTTTTGAGTCCAGAGAGGCAGAGTGACAGCCAGTGGTTATCCTGGAAGAGTTGCATCTACCACTGACTGCTAGGCAATGGGAACCAATGGCTGCTGGGTTTCCTCCAGAAGCATGGCGCTGTCTACAGTGTCAGCAGAGCTAGAATTGCTCCTACCAGATCCTTGTATTTTGTTCTTCTGGCAATAGCTTTGTTTTTGTTTTTTACATGTACTTTTCTTTATCAGCCTTTTTCCTTCCGTTTTCAGACTGGAAATCTACCAGCTTCCGCTTTCTTTCTGAGTGCCTCTATTTCCTCAGCCTAAGCTTCTCCTCTAGGAGCTGGAGACTTTTCTTCAGTTCCTGCCTTGCACGTGTTTCAGGCCCTTAGAGAAAAACCTTTCTTTAGCCCTTACAGCCTACCCTCCAGTCTTTGAACCCAGTCTTCTTCCTCATATTGCCTCCCACAAGCACCAAGGACCTCACCCTCCAATGGCCAGATTAACATGACGTATCTGTTGAAATGTATCTTACCATTAAATCAACAGAAGCAGGATGTCACGCCCTTCAAGGGGGAATGGCCCTATAGAATTTAAACATTGGAGGGCGGAGTTCCCAGAAGTGGGGGTAAACTTTGGCTGCTGAAAATATGCTTATATGCATATTAATTATATTAT